GACGCGCGCCCTCTCCGTACCCGCGCGCGCCGCTCCACGCCCCTCAGCCGTTTTTCCCGGGGGCGGGGAAGGAGCAGGGACGGGGGCTGACGTGGTTCAATTCTGTGGCCCAGACGCCCTGGGAAGCGTTATTGAGGAAATGGGAGAGACTCGTACAGTCCTGGAAGGTGCAGTGGGTGTGTTTGTTGTTTGTGTGAGGAGTGGTGTTTTGGGGTGGCTCTGCCAGGCTTCCAAACGGGCAAGTTCCAGTCAAGAGAAGCCCAGGTTCCCCAGTAGCCTTGCTTCTGCCTGAGACGCATTTGCCCGAGACCCATTGAAGACAGACCCCAGGACCCGGGATTGCGTTTCAAGGGACTCCTGGGATCGTCGGAGCCCCAACCCGGGCCAATCTCTGAGTAGGAGTCGGTTGATATGGAGAGAGTTGTGAATCAGTGCCTGCGTGCGTGTCAGACACACCCACGACCCGGAAAGGGCGACCTGTCAGGGTAGATGCAACCTGTTGCCTAGTTTCCAACCTCACGTGTCTGTCCATGTGCTTCCATGGCATTTTACCAGTGTCGCTACAGATTTTGGAGGCCGAGGTGCTGATATCCATCCTCACTTGTTGACTCCTCAGAAACTCAAATCTGCGGCTGCATTTCTCAGAGCCTTTTTATACTTTTGTCGTTTGTAGGGTGGAGGACTTTGTTTTTGTTTTTCCTAAAAGCAGTACGGCTTTGCTATTTACTAAGCAGAAAATACAGATTCTGGTTAACCTGTGGGCTGGATTGGAGAAGACAGAGTATAAAGGTGCAGCAAATCACGATCCCAGAGTTCTCTTTAGGGTGCGTGACCCGCTCATGGGTAGATACTGGTGGCTGTAGTTACCACACTTGGGACAAAGGAGTATCGGAGGAAATCACTTTTTTCCTCACTTGGTGTTGACTAATACAAATTGCCTGGAACTGATTTAAAAAAATAGACTATACTGAAATTTAATCATACTTTGGGAAAGAAAATTTAGGAAAATAACAAAAGTTTTCATCAAGCTCTGAAATTCTCTGGATTTCAAAACTTGAGCTCTATAACATGTTTTGTGAGTTTTGTACATGTTGGAACCAGTAAACCTTGCTCTGTAACTCTTAGAGTATTCAGAATTCAAAAACTCCATTTGGACTGTAATATCTTTTTGGACAGAAATGGTCTCTGTTTTCTTCCTCTCCATATCTACTAACACCTAAAAAAGTGCTTGGCACAGAGTAAGCACACAGTAGGTATTTATTACATATTACATTGGTTATAATTGGTGTATCAGTGTATATGAGCATTTAGTTCAGTCCTTCACTTATTTAATACGTGTGCCCCCTCTCTCCAGTGTTAGTCTGGGTGTGGGAAGAGGATTGTGAGGTTACAAATAGTGTAGAAGACTTTTTCATTTAAGAACAGACTGGGCCAGGAGAAGAAAGCGTATGTATGTGAATTATGAAACCAAATGAGGGAGCACTGTTAATAAGTGTTACGTGAAGTTTGGGAGTACGGTAGAAATTTAGAAAAGACAAGACAGGTGCTGCTTTACTCTTTAGAAGAGGTAAGATTTGAGCTGGTCTTCAAAGAAGATGTAAAAGAAGTAAGAAGTTATGTGCTGAGAACTTAATGTAAATGTGGTCACCAAGAAAGTATATCGAAACAAATGACGAGCAGAAGATGGTCTTTGATAGGTAAGTACGAGCTAGGGTTGAACACAGTGGGAAGGGAAAGTTGTTATAGGCGAAGGCAGGCTTGTCAACAGCTCAGTTCTAACAAGCCTGCTGACAAGGTGGGAGGAAGATTTTTTTGTTTTGTTTTTTTGTTTTTTGAGACAGGGTCTCACTATGTAGTTGAGACTGAACTGGAACTGTAGCCCAGGCTGGTCTCAAACTCACAGCAATCCTCCTGCCTCAGCCTCCCGAGTGCTGGAATTAAAGGTGTGCTTCACCACGCCCGGCAAGGGATGGAGGTTGTTAATCAGAGTACAGTTTTAAATAACAGTGTTACTGTTACTTAAAGGATATTTTATTCAAAGCAGGATCAAGTATGTAGATTGCATATTTTTATTTCAATTACTAATTGTCATAAATACCATATGAGTGTGCACATACCATAGCCAGCAACACATATCTCATCTTTTGAAATTTATTTGATGTTCTTGGGCCCTCCTTTTGGGAATTTACTGAAATGATATATATTTCAGTAAATATATGTGCTTTCTTCTCCTTGCTAGTCTGCTCTTAAAGGAAAAAAAGGTGTTTCTGTGTTATTTGTAACCTCACAACCTCACAAAGCATTCATGTAGGTGTACTCAGTGACACAGTTTTGCTTGGAATTATCTCTCATACTGGTCTGAGTTTTGCAGTTACTGCTGATTCTGTACAAAGTAAAAGGTTAGTTGGGAAAGAATCTTTCTGAAGGATATTAAAAAGTTCTGACAAAACAATTTGACAAGTAAAGACATTGCTGCTGAATATTGACCTCTTTATTCATAACATCTTTTATAATATGAAAATGCTTCTGAATGGTGCGTAAAGTTAATGTTGAGTTGTTACCCAGAATGTATAGTTACACAGCAAGTGTTTCATTATTAAACTTAGCAAATATTTATTGGGTGCAGGCTATAGCTGGCCATTCTGTAGGATGCTGGGCAAACAGATGAATAAAACAAGTACTCACCAGAGAGATAAACCACTAGACATTTTATGTTGCAATAAATTGTGCTAGGGGAATGGATAACTTTGTCTGGAGAAAAAAAAAATGATAGTCAAGAAAGCTGTGGGCCAGGGATGTAGCACAGTGGCACTGCACCTGCCTGGCAAGCTCCCCAGTAATGGCGGGGGAACAAAAAGGAAAACTTTGAAGTGAAGAGGTTGGAGTTTCGCCCTGAAGATTAAGTAAAATTTTGCCACAAGAAGACAGCATTCCAAGCAGAGTGGATATTGTTATTGAATATTAAAACTGAATGTCTTTTTGGAAATTTCTTGAGTTGTTATAGGCTTAATGCGCGTGGTAGTGGTGAGATGGGAAATGTATTTTTGGAGCCAAATTATGAGGGGTCTTCTTCATTCAAAAAGCCTACTTGGGTTTGGGGGCACATACCTGTGATCCCAGCACCTTGGAGGCTGAGACAGGAAGGAGGATCACCTCAAGTTCGAGGCCAGCCTGAATTACATAAAACAAAACAAAGTCTAGTTCCCTTTACATGCATTTAATTGGCAATGGAGAGCCAAAGAAAATAGAATAACCAGATCACAAAGTTAGTTGACAGTTCATGTGCAGATTGCAGATTGTGTGTGTGTGTGTGTGTGTGTGTGTGTATGTATACTTTGTTAATTGTTGAAGTAATTATGTGCCTTGTCCTCAGTGATAATTAAATTCTTTTGACATTGCAAAATCACCCAGTGAGAGTTGTCAGTTCTTCTAAGACTGGGTAACTGTTTTGCTGCCTACTTCTCTGCTGTCACTGTTTCTAGGGCATTCATTGAATTATCTACCGCTTACATTTACTTTTTAGGGATTACAAGACTTCTGAAATCAGTTTCACTTTCTGTATTAGCTTGATTATAGCAAGGAGCATATAAGTATTATAGAGGGCTGAGTACCCCTACTTTCTGTGATTTCTTCTCCCATGTAAGTAGTTGAATTAGATTGTAGTGTGACTCATGGTTAGAATTGACCTTAACTCAGGTGGAATTGGGGAGGAGGTGCTCGGGCAGCTTCCCTTCCATCCATGAAGTATGTTGACCACTTGCCAGGTTACATAATAAGTGTGGTGGACAGAAAGAATATTTAAGATCCATGCCCACTAAGAATTTGTTGTCTGTTGGGAGAGACAGATTTAAATGTAGATGATTGTAGTGTACCATAGTACAATCTTTGATAGAAATATATTCAGAAGACTATCAGCTTAGAATTTATATGCCAAAAATACATAGCTAAAACTTCAAGGGGACATCTTAATATATATAGTCTGGTGTTTTGGGAAGGCTTCCTAGTGAAGGAGACACCCCCAGAGGCTTACAGAATAAGGCCTTGCCTGTGGAGAGGTTAGAGGGAGTATATATATTTTAGGCAGAGAGACGGCAGGATGTGTCAGGGTAAGTAACCGTGCTGATTAAGTTTAATGATCACCTTGACTAGATTAAGAGACTCGTGGAGAGGTGATTGGATCCTCGTGCCGTTTGGAGGTGGGCCCAATTGAAGGTGGTCACTGGGGGTGTGTCTTTTGAGGATATACCTCTCCCTAGCATGCTTCCTGGTGCTCTCCTCCTCGGACATTGGAAGTGAGCAGTTTTGCTCTGCCATGCCCTTCAGCCACAACATTCCTGTCTTGGAGCCAGGCAACTGGAGACTGAATCTAAACCTTGATACTGTGAGCCAATCTAAATCTCTCCTCTTCTTTTTCTCCCTTTCTTCCTTCTTGTTTATTTTGAGTCAGGTTCTTGCTATGTAGCTAAGGCTGATCTTGAACTTGTGGTCGATCCTCCTGCCTCAGCCTACTGAGTGTTGAGGATACAGGCATTTGCCACCACACCCACCTGTGCTCCCTTAAACTGTGGTGTCAGCAATGGGAAATCTGACCAGTACAGTAACTAACTAGTTTGGTGTTCCTGGAGCAGAATGTGAGAGGCAGGGTTTTCTCAGAGATGAGGCTGGAGTGATAAGTGAGGGCTCATTTAAGGAGTGGCACTTAAGAGTTTGATGAACTTGTATGCTAGTCTGTTAATGTAGTCATTACTACAATTTGTTAAGCACTTGGCAGTATGTATAGGAACTACTTTATAGATAATCTGTCACTTAATCCTGCGAGACGTTAAAAAAAGAAAATATGGAAGTGCAGAGAGGCTGAGTAACTTGTTCAAGAGCCATTTCTAATGTAGAGTAGTTCAGAAGTGCAAAGGTGTGACTGGCTCCAGCCAGGGCTTTTAAACTGGAGACTCTTGAGAAAAGCGTTAAGCAGGGAAATAGTGTGATTATATCTTCAGTTTGGATTGATAGATCTGAAAGGTGAAGATGGAATTGAGGGGCACAAAATAGGAAGCAAGGAAATAGTTGGGAAGCTGTTGAAATAGTCCATTCAAAACTGAACTAGAAGTTATTAGATAGGCATAGGAGTAATGAATTAGGGGAATATTTTAGAGATAAAAAAAAACTGATT